GCCACTCTCAATTTGTCTTCCGTGTAAATTTTGATTTCTATTTTGAAGAGTTTTAATTGGCTATTCAGTTCGGCCAATTAGGTCATCATTTCACTTGTAGCATAGGTCATGATTGTGTGTTGCCTATTCAATCACTATTCTCTTTTGATTAGTGAAAAGTGTGGTGCCAACAGTAGGAGGGACACTTGTCTTCTTTTAATTTGTTGCTAAGGAGGTGTTGGATGTTAATGTGAAACACCATTTTAGTTATGTAATGATATTTTTACCGGTGACGGTGAATCTCATGTCCATGCTCAACGTATGAGCTTTTAGTTGACCTTCTATCGTTGGTCGAGCTCAATGGATGAGCTTAGTTTAACCTCTTGCTGTGATTTTGACAACTGTTCCTAAGCTCATTTTCATCCTTGTTGGAGTATGCTTGAGATGCTTGTGAGTTCAAGTACCTACACTTATCCCCTAAGGTCTGGATTCTATATGCAGAGAGTTCAAAACATCACTTTTGGTTCCGAGCTATGGTGTGTCAATGTTGGACATTGATCTACCGTATGTTGGATTCGTGAATGGCACATGGTGGGAAATCAATGGTTGCATCACTTCCATCGAATAAAAAAAGAGCTCTTTGTCCATCATTTTGCCGATCTTCTTACGCTGAGCTGGATTGAGGTTGAACATGCCATTTTTTGGCCAAATGAGCATGGTTGAGGCCTGCAATACAGCTGAGCTTCATGCTCACAGGTCTATGCTTTGCATGATGGTTGTTGCTAACAAGGTAAACAAGTTCGGTCACTTTCCATCATATTCTTGCTTTCTTCCTTCACTCATTTTAACTACCATGTTTGATTAGGTCAAGATTGAGAAGGAAAATGTTACAAAGCTTTGGAGTGATGCTTTAGCGGCAAAGAGTACTGGACACATACAGGAAGAGAAAATGTGGTTGGATAAAGGTCTAGATGTCAAGCTAGATTCGAAGGCCTAGCTGAAAGCTGATTTGACGATGGAGCTTGACGTCATAAGATTTATATGACATAGGTGCGGTTCTTGAGCTGAAATTGAGGAGAAAAAGGAAACAAAGGAAACTTCCGAGCTGATGAACCGATGGCTAGGGACACGAAGGCTGTGGATACATGTAGGGAATCTCCAGTTTTTGATGTTGTAGCTCAAGAGCCTACATTCACTACACCAAAAACCACATTTGGCAACAGGCAGAAAACATTGCCGTAGACTTACGGCAACGTTCAGGCGTCTGTTGTGGGATGAGACGTTGCCATAGAGCAAAGAAATGCACGTTGCCGAAACTTACAACGAAACCAGGTTTCAGCAACGTGCTCTTGCACGTTGCCGAAATTGGGGTTTGTCGCAAATGTCATTTTTATTTTTCTGATCAATTATTTTACATTTTTCTTGCCAATTAAACCTGTGAATTAAAAACATATTTTTACTATCTACGCACAAATACTTTAAGCCAACAAAAAATTAAAAGTGCTTCATTTAAGCCAATAAACATGATCCGATATGCAATATTACTTCATCAAAACATAATAAATACTTCAATTCAAAAATATACACCATCTAACCAAAGAACTATGAAAAATGTCCAAAAGTTATGTAAACGATTCATAACCGAAGCTTCTAACGAGTCCCAGCCAAATCTTTTTACATAGACGAGATCCAAGACGATACAAGCACAAAAGAGATTTTCGAACTCACTTCAGCTCCATGTAACTGCAAGAAAGAAAGAATATAACAACAAATTAATCAAAAAGAGCAAGCAATTTAGAAACAATACAATGTCATTTAAAACTTTTTAAGACACAACTATATTCATTCTTTTTACATAACCTGTCTATACTCATTCAACCTATATAACAGCAGATTTATGTCATTTAAAGAAAAAATTGAATCACACACTCAAGAATACAAGCTCATAATTAAAATTTGATCGATTTTTAAAAATAAGATCAATTTCTTTTTTAAGAGAAGTCATTGTGCACTCATTAGTAATGCCATGAACAAACTTCCACCTTCAAGGTTGTAGACTTGTGTACGCACACATATATAGCCACTCTTGAAACATGTTTAATGACAAATACGTAAATGAAAAAAATGTAGAAATTTATAAAGTACCTTCGTCAAATAAGTCTAATGCAGCTCTTTGGCCAAGCAATAGTACTTCCTATGGCGTCTCTAAGAACTCGAAATTCTTCCGTTGGTCTATATAAAGGCAAATGACTCATGTACACCTCGTCAACCCAAACCTTCCAACAATCTCGTCCTAGTTGCACGTGATGCACATTTGTACTTGGGTCTATTGATGCAATCTTTCCTTCGCCTACAATTTCCTCCTCAACCAAGTACCAGTGCAATAGTTGACACTTTCCATTTTCCACTGGTGCAATACCTCCCTCCATACCACTTCCTTGTTGAGACTACAAATTCTCATTAAAATAAAGTCTATTTTTAAAACTAGTATGATATAATCTGAATTTATATTGAAAAAATAATATACAATACAAAAATCTGTGGAGTAAAAGCACGTGAACTCATATCCTCTACATTCTTATTTTGATTCTGCAAAATAATACAAAAAAATTAAACTTATTGAAATGTTAAGATATATTGAGTTACGCTATCATATTCTATGTAATAGCAAAGTATAACCTGGGATAACTTCAGAAGTGCTTCAACTTTTTCTTCGAGTGCTTCCATCCTTACTGATTGAGTTTGTAATTTGCTCTCAAGGTCTCTTACTTTCTCACTGCTTTGTGTATTTTCATCTATTTTTGATGGTGTAACCCCAAGTCCAAGCCTCCTTACTCGTCCACGACGCTCGGGACCTAAAATTCGAGCAACAACATCATCTCGAATAGAATTTTCGGCTGGTGTATCAGAAATTGACTTGGCACAATCTTTTATCTTCACTGCACTTATGAAACTTAAATATTACACTAGATCTATACACACACTCTCTGGTATATATGTATACACACACACACACACACACAATACACATACCAAAGTTTCAGCAACCGCCTCATTTATTGGATTTCCATCCTTTCG